TGCAAAAATACTCAAAAATATCACAAACAGAATTCTAGAACACATCAAAAAGATCATGTAACATGATTAACTAGGCTTCCTCTCAGAGATACAAGGATGGTTAAACATATAAGAATCTGCCAATGTAATCCACTGCATATACATACTAAAATAAAAAATATATATATGATCATTTTAATAGGTACTTAAAAGGCCTTTGACAAAATTCAACAGTATTTCATGATAAAAGTTTTGGAGAGATCAGGTATGCAAGGGGCATACCTATACATAATAAAGGCAATGTAGAGCAAGCCTAGAGCCAACACCAAATTAAATAGAGAGAAATTGATAACAATTCCAATAAAATCAGGAACAAGTAAGGCTATTCACTCTCTTCATATATATATCCAATATAGTACTTGATCTAGCTAGAACAATAAAACAACTAGAGATCAAGAAGACAGAAGGAAGAAGTCAAAGTTCTTTGAAGAAAGAAACTGAAGAATAATTTGGAGATTTGGAAGACCTGCCATGCTAATATATAGGCAGGATTAACATAGTAAAATTGGACATCTTACTAACATCAACCTACAGATTCATTGCAATCCTCATTAAGACTCCAGCACAATTCTTTACAGACTTTGAAAGAACAATACTCAACTTCAAATGTAGAAAACAATAAACTCAAGATAGCTAAACAATTCTGTACAATAATAGAACTTTCAGAAGTATCACTATCAGCTACCATAAAGCTATAGCAATAAAAACCACATGATATTGGCTTAAAAACACACAGGTTGGTCAATGGAATCCAATCAAAGGCACAGAAGTAAATATACATGCTTATGGACACCTGAGTTTTGATGAAGAAGCCAGAATTATACAATGGAAAAAAGAAAGCATCTTTAAGAAATGGTGCTGTGTAACTCAATGTGAGCATGTAGATGAATACAAATAGATATATACCTATCATGCACAAAACTCAAGCCCAAGACCTCAAATAAAAGAATCAAAAGAATCAAAGACCTCAACATAAAATCAAATACACTGGCCTTATGTGAGAATAAGTGGCTAATTGCTTTGATGCCTTGTCACAGGAGACAACTTCCTGAAAAGAACACCAATCACAGAAGCACTAAGATTAACAATTAATAATTGGTACCTCATGAAACTGAAAGGTTTTAAAAGGTAAAAAAAAAAATCACTGTTAATAGGACAAAACATTAGCAATGTATTTTTTTACCAACTCCACATCTGACAGAGGGCTAGTTTTCCAAAATATATAAAGAACTTAAGAATTCTTATTGGAAATCATAGCCTCTTGGTTTTAGTTTCATAAATCCTAAAATATTACTGATCTTATCTCTAGTTGTACATATGACATGATTTTGTTTTCAGATGTGATCCATGTGGTTGGATATCAGGGTGTCAAGAATTCCTAGACAACACTGGGTTGTCTATATTGGTGGAGAAATTTTATAATTTGTCTTAATATTATTTCAATTGAAAAGTATTTACTCTCTAGCTAAACATCATTTTATGATCAATGTTTAAACAATGAGTTCTTGATATGCTGAAATTATCAGGTGAGCATACAGGACACTCTTACAGCAGTACTGTTGCTTGGCTATTATTCATCTGGAAACCTCTTCTGACAGATGACTATCCACTTGTATTTTAGTAATGTTCCCCATGCTTTCTTCTTCATCTAACTGCAAAAATGAATGGTAGTCAGGTCCAACCTACTCTGTCAGAAAGAAGACCATTCCATTCTTCAACTGTGTGTGAGTTTTCATTTAACTTCTCTACTGAAGGGGGAGTACAATGGTAGATGCCTGCACACTGATCCTTTCTTTATATTAACTTCCTGGTGAAGAAAGATAAGGGGAGTGAAACAATCAAACACAAGATAATGAACTTCCTATATAAATTTTCTTTGCTTCCCACATTTTATAATCTTTTCTACTTTCCTGAAAGCAGCTCCAAGTGATGTATGGCAGTGAGCCAAAATTGTTCCTCCACATGACATGAAACCAAAGAAAGAAACATGTCATCAAAATAGGGAAACAATTGCAGTAACGATCTCAGTGCTTGGTTTATAAGCCTTACAGTCATTAGAAAAATTATGTTCAATGAAAGTGATTAAATATTTGAAAGTCTTCTATAGAGTCAGTGTGGTTGCAATAAAAATTTCAGTAATGTGATTTTAACAACATCAATCTTAAAACACATGTGGAAGCATTTAAAAAATTTAAGGTTAATAAAGCACAATGTCATCAAAAAAAGAAAAACAAAAAAAGCCACATGTGGAAAAGAAAGGTAAATAAAAGAAGAACTATGGAAAGAGATGAGCCACAGTGGAGCTATCCTAACACCTGATCTCAAATCACAGCCACACTTGTGATAGATTATTGCATCTCTCAACACTCATCAGAGAAGCTTGTTTTTGTATTAGGTAGCTAGTTTAAAAGAAGCATCAACAGATCACCATGCAGAAATGAACATTGAAGGAGTTGTCAGTCCTAAATAGGACATCTCTTTTCCACAATCTCCTCTCAAGGCTCAGGATTCATAAGGTGTAGAGGAGATATTGTAAGAGCCAGAGGGAAGGGATGACTACAGCAAGAGTGTGTTCATGATACAAGAGGACACTTGCACATATGAACTGACCGTGTCTATGAATGCAGAACAGAAGACCTAACAACTTAAAACCAGACAATATCCCTTCTTTAAGTTGAGAGGAAGTCAGGAGGTTCTTTTTCAAAATGAGTCCCTATTGGCAACTGAGATCTCTTGGAGGGAGTGACTCAGGCTCAGGCATTGGGTCACTAACAGGACCCAATGGACTAACAGGACTAATGGACTTACTGATGCTCCAGTAAGTGGCCCTGTGCCCATGTACATACAAGCACACATAAGTGGACATTGAACATGCTCATGGATAATAAATACTCATTTTTTTCTCTTTTCTTAACTCATTTATTTCATGCACTTCCTATGGATTTAATGGTCTTTCATTTTGGTAAGAAGCAGTGTATGGGTCAATCTTATATTATACACTATATGTACATATTACATTTTTCATAGCTCTATTTGACTTATGAGTTTATATATTTGCTCTGAGTGCAAATTCTCTTTCTGTATCAGACATATTGTGTACTCTGTAGATACAGGAGACAGGATGCAGACTGCTATTTTCCTATCATAACCTTGTCTGTGGAGCACTGACACAGCCCTATCCACTGAAAATGGCAAGAGTCATGAAGCCAGCACAGCTGTTTGACACAGTTCCAGAGAGCTGAGTCTAATTCTGCAATTCCTGCCATTGTATCTCTCAGTTTGGGGTTTTAGTCTCTGTGGTGCTGCATTCTTGGGGACTTTCAGCATTATGATTCATTTTATGTCTTTTCCTGAGAAAATTATGTTGGAATCTTTTAAGAAAAATACTAAAATAAACTTTACCTGGCCCTACTATTTGGAAGCCTTCCTTTTGCCCTGGACATCATTAAGCACAGATAAGCATATAGTTAGATGAGTCCATCACTCCATGAATCTTCTTGAGGTGTCTACCGCTGAGCAAACTCAAACAATATAACTGGTGCCAGATGAACAGAAACAATTGGCAAACTCTGACTGGCCAAGAGAATGGGTTACATATTCTAGGACTCCTTTTATACTACTCTTAGAGCTCTCTGAAAATTGAGTTTAAAGATAAGCACTCATAAACGGTACAAACCCAGGGGAATAGAGAACAGTAAATAAGGTAGATTAAATAAAATAAAATGTTTCCTACTTTATAGTGTAGATAATGAAACAGATGTCTTTGCTGTTCATAAAACTACTAGTTCAGGTACTTTATGTTTGTCTAGAGTGCTTCCAGTTGGCACACATTACCAGCCTAAAAGCAGATTGTCATATGATGAATGGGTTTGCTTTGGAGGAGACAATCTTCAGAATCTTTAAGTTGGAATTATAAGCCTGATAATAAAAGTAAAATCTGTTCTTGTTGTATTTTCTAATTGGAACTGAAAATTTGACCCTGAACATATAATGAAAACTTAAACCCATAATCTGTACTTTTTAGATAATCATGTGTCTCTCTGTGTTCTGTGAAACCTGTGTAAATAAAGAAGCAATCTAGTTGCTAGTCAGTCAGAGCTTCAGAAGTGATCTGATTGCTAGTCGTTCAGAGCTAAGAAGTTCCCTGGACCACCAAGGCCTGACTCCCTCCCTCGACGGTGGATTCCTTATCTCCTCTGAGTGCTGTCCTGTCAGCAATGCTCAGGAGAAGGTCCCCTACAGAGCATCCATCATGTTGTACTACTAAAGCCCAGGACGAGGGGATGAATACAACTGAATGAGTATCTATACAAATGAATGAGGATCAATACAAATGAATGAGAATGTCTATTTCATCGATTCCATGAGAGCCAGTGCTCAGGTGATGACCTTGAGCCTCTGCTGCTGGTTGTTTCTCACTGTCTCTAGCACAGTGTGTGATGCTAAGTGAAAGACACTATCAGTCACATTCTCACCATGAATTATCCAAGACTAAAACTCAAGGTAAATATTTGCAGTGCATCCTGAGGCACTGCAAAAAAATTGAAAGTTAGTTAAGAATTAAAGAATGAACAAATAAAAGAAGATTCATTTAGTAATAATTTATAGAAATGTATAACTATACCAAATTATGATGCAATACAACTGTGATGCTACATAATATAATAATTAAATAAATGCATACATAAATAACTGAATGAATGAATAAAAAGAAATAGATGAATACATGAAGAAATTAATGAATGAATGAATAAATAAATAAATAAATAAATAAATAAACTGAATAGAAGGATAACTAATGACTTTACAGATAGACACAGTAAAGCACATTACTGCTGAAACATCTAGGCAACTTGGTTCAATTCATGCAAAAAATGACTGATATTTTTCAGATGCCAGAATTTGAGCAGTGAGGTTCAATGTCCTAGTCTATGACAGTCTTTTTCATTTTGGCTCAGGACTCACTCCTCCTCACTCAGTCTTGCCAGCAAGTTGGCTGAGGAAGACAGGGCTCTCCAGACTTCTGCTCTGACCACCTCCCAGGCACAGGGGCTGTGATTCTTCTCTCTTAGGTACACAGTGATCCTGTGGAAGTATTTCTTCACAGCTGGCTGAAAGTCTTCCTGGGTCAGGGGCGGTTCCTGCACCCCCACCTGCTGCATCAGACAGCCTTGCAGGACATTGAGGTGCTGGTGGAGACCAGTGCAGAATGAGTCTAGGAGGGTTTCCTCCCAAACATCAGATGACTCCTTTGATGTGAAGAGGTTCAGGACCTGCTGGGTCAGCTCTCTCAGGACAGGGATGGCTTGAGCCTTCTGGATCTGCTGGGCATCCACCTTCTCCAGGGGGAATCCAAAGTCCTTTCTGTCCTTCAGGCAGGAGAGAGGGGAGAGTCTCCTCATTTGTGCCAGGAGTGTCAAGGCTCTATTGTTCCTGAGGTTTTGTCCCTGAAGCAGGTCACATCCTAGAGAGCAGGTTGACCAGTAGCTCATCACCACCAGGGCCACCAGGAAAGCAAAGGGCCTAGCCATTGTGAGTCTTGCAGATACTCCTGATCTTGTGGCCTGTTTTGTTCTCAACTTTCCCATCTAGGTTCTCTGAGGACCATCTTGTGTGGATGTGTCTTAAATAGGGCAAAACACTAATTTTCATTTTCTGAATGCCCTCCTCTCACTTTCCAATGGACTTTTCACTTTCTTTACCACATTCTGTGCTTGAGTCTGGGCATTTGACTTAATCATTTTTGTTTTCATTATTGCTTCCTCTTTCACTGCTCCCCATCAAAAACTGTTTTTACCAGTTTTCTTTTTCTAAGATTAATTTCTAATCTGTTACACCATAGATAAACTGTCTTTGTTTGAAACTTACAAATGTTTTGTAAGGCAAGTTTTTCTGTAAAATATTCCATAAAAGTTACTGAATTTCATTCTACAAGTAACTTAGTAATCATTTCACATTAACTATTTATCTGATGATGACATGCTGTCGTGAGCATTCAGTTTGTAAAATGGCTTGCCTTTCAAGGTTGACGAGCTGAGTTTGATTCCTGGAGATATTTATATCTCTTACAAAATATATATATCATAATGTAGTATATGTTGTAAATTTTAATAAATTAAAATACACTGAAGAAAAGATATACTTCTAAATTTCTCAATATTGAAAGTTATAAAATTGAGTTCTTCGAGTTGCCTTCTTTAAATGTAATAGAAATTTATATAAAACTTATTTTAATAATCACTATGCATTAGCTATCTATCCAATGATTTTAATGCGATCATTAAGATGCAGGGTACAAAAAGGCTAACTGTTGAACTTGATGAGCTGAGTGTGATTCCTGGAACCCATGTTTACAGTAGAGAAGCAATGCATGTACAGGAGCCCTCATCACAACATTCACAGCATTGCAGGCTCGGCAAGCGCTCTCTTCCTCACACATTCACACATTCATACACTTACTCATTTGTGACAAAGGTAACTCAAGTGGTCTGTGAATCTCTATCTGAATTTTTTTTTGACATATTGAATTTGTCAATTCTAAGATTTATTTTCTGTCTTTATAGGATCTCTTCACTCATTTTATATTTCTGATATATATATTCTGATTTTGTTTGTTATATTTATATATGATCTTGTAGTTACCTGTGTCTCTGACTATTGATTTCAAATCATTTTCAAGCAATTCAGCACTTTGCTTTTCCTCTCAAATCTACCAGGCTCATGCACTTTTGTAACCACAAAGGACCTTACTAATGAACTCTAGGTCGATTTGTAATCTCACTTTACAACGAAAAACACTACAGTATCTTCTGAGAGACCCTCATTTTCTTTCCTTTCTCTTTTTCATCATTCAACATGGTTGAAAATCTAGCACAGCTAGACATATTTTTTTTTATTCTAACCCAAGAAACTGAGGAACCAAACTCTCTGCCTGACTTAATTCATTACCTTAAGCGAACCCTAACCCTAATATCAGTGTAATTATTTGTTACCTCTCTGTTATGAAAATGACTATGGTTGCTATTTTTAAACACAAATATTGTAAAGCTTTGGAGACTTGCTTAATAAATAAAATGTGAAGTGGGGACTTTTCAAAGTCAGGAACATGCTTTTAGTAAATGCAGAAACACCTGATTAGTTTCCCAGAATCCATGTTAAGCCTGGATGAGGGTGGATTTTTAGCTGGTATTGAGTATATGTGAGAACCCAAAAGAAGTAGACTCTAACAAGCTAGCAAGTGGAGAGTGTAAAGGCAAATAGGAAGCTTTTGCTTCCTCCATTCATATACTTACGCAGGCTTTCAACAGAAGGCCTGGCTCAAGATTGAGGTGAGTCTTTATATCTCAAATATCAAGAATACTGTTGTGTTTTCCCATTGTGAAGTGAATCTTCCTTCTCCAAATTAAGAAAAACTAGCTCACAGGTGTGCACTACCTTTTGGGGTTTCAGGTAATGCTACGTGTAGTCAAGCAGACAACCAATAATAGCAAACACATTCTCAAAAGCCAGTCAGTCTAGCTGAGATGGTAAGCCCTTGCTTAAGTGAGAGAGCATGTCACAGAAAATGAGGTAGAGAATGATTGAGTTAAAAACCTGACATTGATTGACATCTGGTCTCTCTGTGTGCACATGCAAATGCAAGCACACAAGCATGCATGTACAATAGGGATTTAACAAGCTAATACAACATAACAATTGTATGTTATAAGACATGATACACTGAATCTGACAGAAGAGAAAGTGGCAAATAGGCTCATTGGTAAGTGCAAGGACTTTCTGAACAGGATGCTGAAAGTAGAAAACACTAACACCAGCAGTCACTAACTGGCTCATCACAATGCTAAAAACTCCAGTGTGACACAGGATGTCATTACTCAGGCAAATTATATAAAGATGCAGCTTTAGTTTTACAAACAAAATTATCTAATATTAAAACATGGTCATTGGTAAGATGCTAGCTTGTCTGTCCGTGTTCATAAGCACATACAGAGTTGCTCAGTGCTTTCACTCTGGTTCCACACTGCAGACTTGCTTCCTATGTGTGTCAAAGACCACACTGTTTAGACAGCATGGAACTAACCAGACTCCATAACTGGGTGTTTTATTCACATAGTTCTCCAGAGGTGTAAATACTGTCAAAATCATACCAAAGTTTTATGCTCATTTCAATTACCTTGCATGCTCATCCTTAAACACAGGATACTGTAGTATGTTTTAGCATCTATAGAAATGTTTGTTTCAAATGATAATAGAAGAAGTTCTAGCCTCTCAACATCTCATAGCAGCTTGTGTTCTGCACTAACCAGGCTTAGTGAACTTCCAGGATATTGAAATAGTTCTCCAGAGCTGTAGAACTGGATATGAGAGCATCAGAGCATTCCTGCCTAAGAAGCCCCTATTCCTCAGCCCCCCTCCCAGCCTGTGGCTTTTGTCTTTATAAACCTGTTTATTTTGATATTCGGGGCTCACTCTCTCTCCTTCCCTCTTAATGGAGGTAGGAGACTGAATCCCAGCATGCTGGTTCCTAGTAAAACTTCTTGCTTTGACTGCATCAAGTGCTGACTTCTGCGGTCATTTGGGGTGAGCACCAGTCTCTGGGACTTGAGCAGGGGTCCAAGCCTTATCTGGGCCTTACACTGTCTGTAGTAGGATAGCTGGGCTCTGGTGGTACAATATTATACTGACTGTTTTTGATTATATTCTTACTCTGGCCTCCAGATATCTGGGTTTGAAGTTATTATGAGATTAGGTGCTGATTTCTGAGTTCATCTTTGTTTGAGATGGGTGGTTTGGGGATGCTTTAACCCTTGGTTTCTGTTTCTTCTCTGGTATTCTAGAGGTTGTGTGATCAGTGAGTCTTCAGGTCCAATATGGTGTCTTCACTGGTGCTTTTGTGGGCTGCATGAGATCTAGGGTTTTGGGTTCCAATGTTGCCTCTGATGTCCCTAGAACTGCTTGATCTCTGGGAAAGCAGAAGTCTTCTGACCAAGATAAGAGCCAGAATAGAGAGACCAGGGTACAGAAAACAGTTTGGAACTGTTGAGGCTGCTTTAAGGGGAATGGGAAAACAGAGGTCAGAGTTTTACCTGGATTGCTGGTGCTGTTGGACTCTAAGATCCAAACCAGTGGACGAGATTCCCCCAGAAACACTCGTGGACAGGATTCGCTGCAATAACATGAAGTTTATTGATAAATTGATAAAAACCAGTGCACTGGGGTTCCCTTGCATGCAGGCAAGAAGAACCTCGAACTAAAGCTAAGGGCAGTTTATATATCATTTTCACAGAATTCACAAGGACAGTTAATTACTTTTAAAACAATAACCATAAAGGATTTCAAACAGCTGTTCCCATGCCCAGTTTTCAATCCCAGGCCCGGTTTCTAAGTAACTCACTTTTGCACCTTATCTTTTACAACAAAGAGGGTTAGCTTAAGTGACCTCTGTTTACCCAGGTGTATTTTGTTAAGGGTCCATCTTCCTGATTACCCCTTATCTTGGGCTCTCAGTCTCTGGAATGTGCTCCTCCCAGGATATGTCCTGGGGTAGTTAATTCTTGAGTTTACCGAAACCTGACATTCTTGAGACCTGAAATTCCTACATTCCTACAGTGCCAGCATCACCTCCAAGAAAGCAGACATAGTTGTTGGCCTAAATATGAAGCCAATAGGATGGGGTGTAATTTAGAGATGTGGTATGTGCTTTAACAGGAGGTGGTGGAAAGAGGTTGCTGGAAATTGAACTCAGGTTCTCAGAAAGTGCACTTTGTGTTCTAAGCACCTAAGCTATGAATACATCCTTCAAAGTTTTATGAAGAAATGTTCCCACTATGTAGATGTGACTGGCCAGGACGGTGCTATGTAGACCTGGATGTACTGAAACACATAGAGATCCTTTTCCTTTTCCTTCTGGAACACTGAAATTAAAAATGTGCACACTAGTGATTGGCTAATTATTTGTTTGGATTTTTCTTTTTGGTGTTTTGTTTGTTAGCATAGGCTAGACTCAATGAAATGATAATACCATTTGTGACACTTGAAACAACATTCTGAATTAAAGCCCAGATTTTTTTCTAAAATAATCAAATCTCTGACTGTTATGCAACATTTTATGTACCTCAAATTCACAGACATCTGTCTCTGCCTCACAGATGTTTATTGCATGTGGCTATGCCTGGCTTTGCTTCCATTCTTGATTTTCTTAACTGTATTCATTGTCCTGGGCTAGACTTTTCTGAAACACTCCTTTCTGTCAGAGATCCAAGGACCTTGTCTCTCTTCATAACACAGATTTGAAATTGTTTTGAGAAATAGTTTTGAATATCCCAGGCTGGCTTCAAACTTGCTAGGTAGCCAAAGATGTCCTTGGACATCTGCTCTTCATGCTACACACTCTTGAGTTCTAGGATAATAGGCATATCCCAACATATCTCATTTATGCAATGCTGGAGAAAGAGAGTTTGTAATTCTTTGTCAAAGACTCCTCTAACCCTGTTACTTACTTAGAACCACTACCTACCATTAATGGATACAAGACACCCTTGTGCCTCAGCCTTTTGAGTAGCTAACATAGCAGATGACTTACAGAGCACACAATTTAGTTATTATATATTCCAGAAAATATTTCATTTGCAACAAGATGTTTACATAAGGTTCTCTGAAGTTTTTTTAGGAGGTTTGGTGTGGATGTCCCTACTGTCAAGGATAGAGTGATACCAACCTGACTCACACTCAGAATCATGTGGGTCACAGGCAAATAAAACTCAGCCAGGTGTGTTGGCTGAAAACAGTCATCCTATTAGGAAGAAGGCTGAGGTAGGAGGATTGCCAGGAGATGGTGTTTGAAGTCAATCTAGGCTATAGAAAAGGATCCTGTCTCAAAGATAAATCTAAAACTAAGTACATAAGTAGCAACTAAATAAATAAAGTAAAACAATGTAGGGCAATGATTTAATGAATAGGTTATCGATGTTCAAGCAAGTCTCAGGTATTTTGTTTTTCCTAAACATCATCCATCTAGACAGGGAACACAATTATATGTATTATCTGCTGGGACTAGGTATCCAATCTGATGGCAGTTTTTGGTTGTGAGGTAGATCTGGAAGGGAGATTTATGAGGGAAGAGTGTCCCACTGCTTCAGAGAAGTATCTGGGAGTAGCGAAGCCTGCAGGTTGTTGCTGCCTGGACTTGAAGTTAACTTCTTGTTAGGACTCACTACCTGTAAATCACTTTGCTCCACTGGAACACTCCATCAGATCCAGACTCACTAGGCAGGAGATGGGACAGAACAGCTCACATTCAGAGTCTCTTAAGATGATCTGGTTGAAGACACTAATTTTGAGAGTAAATGCAGAGGCTTTGTATGTTTTTGTTGTCATTTGAGAGAAGGTCTCACTAAAGTAGCCCTGGCTGGAACTTACTCCTTAGATCAGGCTGGCCCCCAACCCATTGAAATCTCCATGCTTCTTCCTGCAGAGTGATGGGACTAATGGCATGTGCCACCACACCTAGCCAGTAAGACAATTTCATCAGTTTAAATTCATCTGATTAACTTTTATTCTTTTTGGTTTTGTTTTTCTTTTTTGACATAGATTTTTATTTCTATTCAGGTTATATCTATACAACCATGTGTGTTTTGTAACTGAAAATACCTTCCTTTTCTAGCATGTATGTATAAAGAACTACCAATCTAATTTTTAGAGTATTTCACATTATTTTCTTAAGAAACTCTGTACCCATCTCTCTAATGAAAGCAGAAATATTCTACAAATTCTCATTTTCACTAGTATTAGGCCTTAGTACACTGTGATGTGCCTGAAGGATGACAACAAGGTTCATTAAACTCTTACCCCTCTCCCTCTCTGCTCCACCTTCCAACCAAAACCTGCCTTCTGATTGGTTGCTTGTATCCCACACTAGTGTCTAGGATTATTTTCATTATCTCAACTGATGGAGTTCCCTTTCTGAAAGGCAAAAGATTGACACTAGCCTGAGAGTCCAGAGCCCATTCAGTGTATCATTCCCCACTATCATGTCTTTTTTAACATCTTTTAATAAATTGAGTGAAGTGCTATGTATTTCTTTTGTTTGGAGGTTGGTTTGTTGGTTTTGTTTTTTGATATCAGGATCTTGATCTGTAGATTAAATTGAAACTCCAACTCTCAGATATCCTACTGCCTCAGTGAAGGGACTGTAGCTAGCCTGTCAATGACAAACATGGCTCTGGCAGCCCTTGCCCATGTCCCTCATTCCCTCTGCCTTGCTGAAACACATTAGATTACATTTCTAAGGGTAGCCCTCGTGTACCACTCCTTTATTTGGGAATCCTACTTGAGGCTTACTCCCACGGCACAGCTCTGAAGTACAGCAATCAATAGCCTTTTGAGCTTTTGGCTTACCTAATTATCATTAATTTCCCCAATTAACATTAAATTCCTCATTCTCAAATGGAGTTTACCCTTTTACTTTTATAACATGACTTTTGCCTATAGACTAGGTATTCTGTCTCTTCTCTACCCAGAGGCACTCCTTTGCTCTTGTTCCTCCCTCTCCCCTCCCCATTCCCTTTCCTTCTTCCTTGTCTCCTATCTCCTGGCTTTGTTGCTTATCCCTTTCCCTTTATGCTCTGAAGCAAATAGATCTCCTTTGTGCTGAGAACTTGGTCTTAGGGTATCTTGGGCTGACTCTGAGGATCTCTACATAATAGTTCATTCCTACCTCCAGCCAGAAAGTCTTCTTTGCTCTATGGGCATCCCTCCAGAAATCTCATGGTTTTAAATTGTCTTGAACTATTCCTAATACCTCAGGAAGAACATGCCAGTACATTCTTTTTAAAGAAAATAGCCTGGTATGGAGGTGGACATATTTATTCTTAGCACTCCAGGGGCTCTAGAGAGGAAAAAGATCCATTACAAGCCTGTGAAGATGAGCCTCTGGGCATTAGGTCCAGAGACTTTGGCTGGGCGAGATATCAAAGAAATGAACTAAAAGGCGAGTAAGTACACTGATACGTTCCATAGAGAACATCATCTTCTCCTCAACCTGCTGTGAGTCATCTCACTATCTTAAAGAAGCTGCACTGCACATGAAGTTTGGGAGTCCCCTGTGTGGACCTGTCACGGTAAACAGGTGACAGTGTCTCCTTCTATCTCCATAAAAACAGATTTAGGGCTCTAGTTAAATGGTGTTAGGACCGACAGGGGGACTTGAGCCACTACAAGGTCCCCTTCAAATACTGGAGGTCAGGCCTCTATCCCTGCCTTCACAAGTTTAGAATTGCCACAGCCCTTCTATACTTAGAGAAGGGAGGAGATGTCAGGGGCAGGCCTGATTACACACTGAAGGCCTAAAATCAGCCATAGGCCTAAATCAGCAATAGGCCTGTCATACATGTATACTAACACCAAGTCTTGGGTCTCAGTGGAAAAACATTGAAACAGATGGCTATAAACTAATGTAAACAGGCAGCTTTTGTGGAAATCTACAAGCCTGAGTAGTCATAGACCTTGTAAATAGGTAGCCTGGGCAGACAATACCAACTTAGATAAGGACAATCAAGTCATAGGCAGAGTCATAGTGACTTGTCCCCTGAACCTTCACCCAGCCAATACCCGGTTCTGATGATATCTGTATTCCCCCTGATCACCCACACTCCAGTGTCATCCCCTTCCACACTTCCTGCCTTTCTGTGTTTATAACCCCTGTGTGAATGAATTACGATTTGAAAAAAAATAAATTAAAAAAAAAAAAACATGGAACCAGTGATACCAAAAAAAAAAAAAAAAAAAAATGGTGTTAGGACATAGTTTTCTGCCTAAGGAGTTAAGCTCCTCTTAGCCAACATATAAATTGTTCTGGAAATATGAAGAAATAGATAGGTCCTTCTCACTTCTCTAAGTGTTCATATGTTGCAAATAGTCTTCCAGCAAGGGTTAAATACAAAAACATAGTTCTCAAAATGTGCCTGCTTTGGCATTCACTTTGTCCTCATTTTTCTGACTCCAGAAGAAACCTGTCTTCTCATCCCATTATTCTCCCAGTCTCACTTCATTGCTGCTCTGAATGCACTACATAATTTGTTTCCCAAACATTGAGTACTGTGTGAAACTGTGTGCTCTGGGTCCCATTGAAGAGACCTACACAGCTCTGAGATTGACCTAATTATGGTAATGAGGAACGAAGAAACTAGACATTTACAGAGATGGTGAAAATGAGGAGGCTATATGCTCTGATGGAGACAACCAGCAACCCAGAAAGTTATCATATTTATTGTTTGCAATCAACATAGGGGAACAAGCTCTTCGTGGAAGGGTGCCTCTATTGTAACACTCTCAAACTACAACAATCCTAGAGAAGGAAAGAATGCTTGATATTTTCCTCAGCTGCAACATCCACTTTCCAGTTCAGAAGAAGACCTTGACTTTCTAGTAAGTCTGAGACCTTGAGATGCTTGACATATCCATGCTCCTCTCAGCAAGAGACATTCACTTAGGATTTCTTCAACCGCCAGTACTAAGCTTCCATTTCTCAGTTTCACAATCAACCTTACCCTATTTAGTGCTGGAAAAGGCAATGTTGGGTCTCCAGACCATAGACAAAGAAGCCATTACATTTAATGCATCGCAACGTAGAAAAGATGATTCTCTTGGGCTGTCTTTTGGCCCTTAGTATATCCAGAAGCTCAGGGCCAAAATTTTCTAATCTGTGTGTTATAACTCTATGCATGTTATCATAGCACTCCTGAGGAGCAGGGTACTGTTCCTGACTCAGCAGCCTCAGGTTGGCTGTGTGCTCTAGAAGTTGTTTCAGAGCAGGTAGAGAGAGTTTATTTCCATGGAAATTGATCTTTGTTAGGTGGAAGCATTGGCTTAGGCCAGGCAGGAGGGCACTGAAATGACGGTCTGTCATCCCACATGACTGTAATTCCAGGGACTGCAAGGTATCCCTAACTCTTTCAAGGAGAACCCCAAGAGGCTCAGGGGATAAAGTACATAAATATACAGAACTCAGGTTCAGATGTTTGAGCTTACAAATATTCAGGCAGTCGGGCAGGTAATCCAAGTCAGTCTGTGAGAGGTTACAATAAGTGACGCACAGGGTCTCCAAAGGATTCTTCAGGCACCTGGGGAGAGAACAAGTGATTGCTTTCTGGCAAGTGGTGTTAAAGAGGGTTGGTGGGATTGACAATGTAGCAGATGACAGTTTCCCAATCTCATTCCGACTATATATTGATGTCAACCCCCAGGACATAGCCGTCTGTTGTCTGCTCACACAACTCACAGCATTCTAGTCTGAGGCCTATAGATATCACCACAGGCATGATTCAGAGCATGGCAAGAAACCACAGCAATGGCTGTATCAGGCCAACATGGTGCAAACAGGAAGGACTACCCAAAACAAAATTGAACAACTTCTGGTACTGTTTTTAAGAGTTCTCAGACCACTGTTTCTCCAAAGGCGAGGATCCTGCCTTCACCTCCAACCCCAGTGTTACATATTTATCATCTATTCGATCAATTTCTGGACTCAAAACTTCTCACACATGAGCAATTAGAGGAATGTTTGTGCTTGGTCATATAAATCTTAGCACAGAGTTCATCTGCTCAGATATGCTGTGACTCTAACAGTGCTAGGTTTATGGTGGGCATATCATACCAGACTCCCATGGTCAGGGTAGGAGTTATAATCTGCTGGACCCTCTGGATCCTTTCTTACCTGAGGCATTCTTTCAGAATCTTGTCTACAAAGAGGATATTTAGATGGAGATTCTGGAGACAGTAGAATGAGGGAAGTTGAGAAATAAACCTGCTCATTTCTTTCTCATCAAGCTCCTCATTACCATCCAGAGTGATGATCTCTGTGAAGTCAGTTAGAATGAGCGTAAGAAGATTTTTCATCTGTCTTATGTAGGGAATAAGAAATTTCAAGTCGTCTACCCAGATACGTTTTAGCTCCAGCTCCTGCAGACAGTACGGATCTATACTTTTGAAGGTTTCTATTAATGTGGCTATGCATAAGCCCTGAATCTGCAGATTTCTACAGCATACATGAACGGAATCTTTTCTCTGTTGGGCCCACTGCAACAAGTATGTAGCAGATTCATCAAGTCTGCCCTCCATGAGTTTGAAGTCAGTTGTCACCTTCAAATGTTTCTTCACTCCACAGTCAGGACTGTTCTTCACTGGCTGCTTCTGTGTCATGAACTGTGGTAAGCATTCACCTTCGTGGGATCCAGCCCATATCTTCCAAAATTCATGGTGCTCATTCCTCAAATTGAGCACTCTGAGTTTGCACCGACTGTGGGAGAAATGAACATAATTCTCAGAAGATAAGAGAAGACACATTTTACAGTCTGATTCTCTTCCACGTCTCACACTTCAGCTGTTTCTTCCAGAAGTTTGCTTTTTCCTGTGCCTAGAATCAAACCCAGAGACTCATGCTCAGTAAATGACTAGCGTTCTTTGCAAGAGGCATCTTTAGCCCTGTCTTACTTCCTTTCATTTCCGGTCTCTTAATCCCAACCTCATTTCACTTGTATCTTTCAGGCATGCATGGAAAGGCCCATTTCACACTGACTGTGTCTATTGTCCTCTGTATTCTACATCAGACATTATTTGCCCAGATAGCTGAGACCTAGCCCAAGCCTCTACATCCTGCTGGCTGATGCCTCCAGAAGCCTCTGATCCATGGTTCGCTAAGTATTTCCTGTCTCTAGTTGCCCCTTCTCATCACCCAGAGAACCTTCCTCCACCCTAGTGATCCTGCCTACCTGGAGCGAAGCTTTTGTGCAAGCAGTATATCTAGTCCCTCAAGTACAGCCTTCAAAAGGTCAAGGTTGGAGTCTTTTATCAGTGTTCCTACAGGAAGGCATGGGAAGGGCCACACAGGTATCATGGCCCTTAAGATCTTTGTCTTTCCATCAGTGAAGGCCTCCTTAAACATCTCTGGTAACAACTCCTTGGGTAGGTCCTCAAGGGCAAAAATTGTCAAGGCTTCCTCCCTCAGTAGCTTCTGTCTTGCCAGCTGCAGGAGGGTGGGTGGTGAGTAGAGATTCATTGTATCCTCTTCTAAAGAATCATCCTAGGGAAGCAGAAAAAAATTATACCAGTAATAACAAGAAACTTAGGAAGCCCTTCTGCCCACACAGGTATTTGTGAGGGCTAGATCTCTACAGATGAGGATGGAGAACTCAGTATACCAATTTGATCACCCTCAGTTTTTTATTTCCTTTTTTTTGGAGACAGGGTCTTTACAGAACTACCTGTATTCTTTGCTGTCTTGCAACTTGCTTTATAGACCACACTGGCCTGGAATTCACAGAGATTTTCCTGCCTGTACCTCCCAAGTGCTGGCATTAAAGGTGTGTTCCACCACTGCTCATCCTGTGTCACCCATAGCATGTCTAATGCAGGATTGTTTGGTCCTGCCTTTGTTGGTTTTAAAGCCATAATTCCCCTCTCTGTTGGTGTGAAGTCCCTCCAAAGTATCCTAGTTCCCAAAAGCCACACCCACTTGCAGCCACAGCTGGGGTGAATACAACCCACTGGGAAGAAATCACCAGGAACTCTGAAGACTCAGTCAGTTGTTTGATGATGAATAGACTGTGCTTAGCTCTCCAGGCCGTCAAAGAAAGCAAAGGGAAACAGTTTCCAAAATTTCCACAATCTCTTTTTGTCCAGCTACACCACATGGAATAAGTCACAGAAACTTTGAAATTATCATCATTAATTACCATCATCAATCTTTGATCACCCCCACACTGGCCTTTTGGAGAAGGTACCAGGAAGGCTCCAAGCTTGAGCTCTGCAAGCTACAGAGTTAAATAGAGTGGCAATGGACAGTAGCCATTGCCATGATCCGGAACTCTTTCTAAAGCATCCAGATAAGAAAAGACTATGAGGTGGAGATTACAAATCACATGCTGAAGGTAGGAGGCTCACTAAGTCAATGCCTTAATTGGTTACTTCAACAGCACTGGAAGAGCTTGCCCGAGACATGCAGAAAGTAGTGGAAGACAAAACAAACAAACAAACAAAAAAGAAAAGAAAGTAAGAAAAAAGAGCAGGAGTTATTTCAACTGATAGGTTTTTCATTTAAACACTTAATAAAAAGAAGCAGGATTCTTCCTGAACTTTTGAGCAGGTCCTGGGTTCCAGGGAAAGAAGGGACCAAATATCAATCAGCAGATGGAAATACCTTGGTTTTATTTATTTGTTTGTTTTGTTTTTCTTCTTTGAGACATGGTCTTATCCATAGGCTGTTTTGAGATTTTCTTTATAAATTAGGCTGGAACCAACCTTTGAAACCATCCAGCCTCTGCCATCCTGTTCTAGGCAAGGGTACTTATGGGAGGATAAGAGAGAAGAAGGCTGTGATCAGGATATAAAGTGTATCAAATATATATACACACAGACACACATATATGCACATATACACATACATGCATGCATACACACACACACACACACACACACACACGTATATGCAAGTTTCTTCCTGCAAGTTTGAGGATATCCCGAGTTTCATGAAGAGACTATATATCATTGAGCAGATGCAAATACCATTTGTTTCTTTTTAATATTTTGTGTGTATTTGTTTGCTTGTTTTGCCGTATTTGTTTATTTAGTTGTTTAATTAATGTATATGAGTCCATTATTGCTGTCTTCAGATACACCCGAAGAGGGCATCAGATTCCATTACAAATGGTTGTGACCAAGATGTGGTTGCTGGGAATTGAATTCAGGACCCCTGTAAAAGCAGTCAGTGCTCTTAACCACTGAGCCATCTCTGAAGCCTCTTGTTTTGGCTTTTTAAAGGCACATATAATCTGGCTGTTTGACACTCACTATAGAGATCACTTAGGCTTCAAATGCAGAGATCATCTTGCCTCTGCCCTCCTGTTGCTGGGATTAAAGACACACCCAAGAATACCAGGCTTAAAGTGACAGGAAGATCAGCAGTCCAGGCACTTGAGTAACTCACAGCTGTCATTGCAGCCAGGATTTCCTTGAATTCAAGATCACTCTGACAATCTTAGTGAGACTGTTTCAAAAAAACAAAATCAAAACAAAACAAAAAACCCCACAGAAACCACAATAATCCATTTAATAATTAGATTTAATTGAGAACACACTTGGATATTCTGGTTAAGCAGCCCTCAGGTGGCTGAGATAGGAGAATCTCTTAGAGTTTCATCCCATTCCTCTTCCCTGTTTCCCCCAGAGGGTGCCCCCTACACCAGTCATCCCCCCTCCCTGGGCCCCAGGATTAGGCAAATCTTCTCCCACTAAGGACAAACCAGGAAGTCCTCTATATATGTGCCTGCAGCCTTGGACCAGCCTGATATGCTGCCTGGTTGGGCAGCTCAGTCTCTGGGAGCTCCCAAGGGTCCAGGTTAGTTTCGATAGCTGGTCTTCTTATGAGGTTGCCCTCTGCTTCAGCTTCTTCAAGCCTTCCCCTAATTCATCCATTGAAGAATCTCCAATGGCCAACAAGCACTTTAAAAAAAATGTTCAAAGTCCTTAGTCATCCAAAATTAGAAATGCAAATCAAAATGACCGTGAGATTTCACCTTATACCAATCAGAATGACTAAGATCAAAAACTCAAGTGACAGCACATGCTGGCGAGGATGTGGGTGGAGGAAGAGAAACACTTCTCCTCTGCTGGTGGGCTTGCAAACTGGTACAACCACTCTGGAAATCAGTCTGGCAGTTCTTCAGAAAATTGGAAATAGTTCTACCTGAAGTCTCCGCTAAACCACTCCTGGGCATATATGCAAAAGATGCCCTACCATACCTCAAGGACATATGCTCCACTATGTTCACAGCAGCCTTATTTATAGTAGTCAGAAGCTGGAAACAACCCAGATGTCCCTCAACAGAAGAATGGATGCAGAAAATGTGCTTCATTTACACAATGGAACACTATTCAGCTATTACAAATGAGGACATCATGAATTTTGCAGACAAATAGATGGAACTAGGAAATGGATGGAACTCATCCTAAGTAAGGTAGCCCAGACCCAAAAGGACACACATGGTATGTACTCATTGATAAGTGGCTTTTAGCCAAGAAGTACAGAATACCTAGGATATAGGCCAGGCAATCTTATGTAGAGAGAACTCATCTCAAAATAGAAAAGCCAGCAAGTAAAATACACACACACACGCACACACACGCACACACACACATGTATATATATGTATATATATACATAATTCCAAGTGAGGCCAAGGCTAGATTAGGTCCCAGGAGATGATGTATCCTGAAGGAACTGAGGGACTTACCTGATCTGGACACTTGTGACAGATAGCCATATTCAAGCAGGGAAAGGCTTTGACCTCAGGCTCCAAGAGACCTACAGTTTCTCTGCCTGCTCTGAACCTTTATATATCTTTCAGCTGAACCCTCCCTATGTAGCCACACCCTCCCAGCCAAAGGTGGCCTCTGATTCAATAATTGAGTCTCCACCCACTTGCTCATTTTCAGATGAGGATGACGTAGGTAAAATTGGATCAGATTCATACACAGGAAAAATTTAGACCAGACAGATAGTCAAGAACTGATTTATTAAAGCCAAATCGTTCAGATTCAGCCTTTCAGGGTGCTCTAATGTAGTCACATGGCTTCAAAACTGTTTACGGGAAACTTACATGTCTTGGTTTACTTTTAAATATCAGACACAGTCTGGATGTGCAGCCAGGTAGTCACTAGTTAACAGACCTCTTATCTCATTCTCCAAATTAGTATAATAAAGTCCAGTGTTCCACAGGACCTTGTAATAACTTTAAAAGTAAAGAGTAATACCATACATTTCAGAGATTCTCCTCAGTTTGTCCTTGGCAGAATCTGTGGAAAGCAGAACCTGAGTGGTTGACAGTGCTATTGTCTCTTTTGAAACAATAAAAGGTGTTCAGTGTCTTTTTGCCTTGACAACAGGCTGGTCACATTGCCTTCTCCTGAATATCTCAAAGGAGTCCCTAGTGGAACAAAGGTTAATTATGTCTGTGTCAGTTTCTGTTGGGGACCCCATATGCTGAGACTGATGAGTGTTTGGATGTGAGACCTTTAGAGAGTACAACAAGGCACACTGTGTTCTCTCCTATTGCAGCTCAGGGGCTCCTGCCTACCGGTGGTTCCTGGGATGGGTGAGACTTTCCGTTTCTAAGACATAGCATGAAGACATGAACGCTTTACCAGGGCCTTTCTGACTGGGGTATGTCCTTGTGGACAGATATGCTGAATGATGTCCCTGAGAGACAACATTTTTTGGTTTATACTCCATCTTAGAGAACTTGACCTAAGTAAACTCAGGTAAACTAACAGACTAGTACCTTGCATTAGTTTTCAAGCACCTACCTCCCAAACAACAAAACCCAAGCCCAGCTCCAGTTTCTAGACTAACCCCAACAAATTCTGCATCTCCAAGTTAACATCCCCCAACAAATTTAGCATTTCCAGGTTAACCTTCAGCAAGCCCACCCTCTGCCTAAAAACTACCATGCTAACCCCCAACAAGTTCTGTATCTCCAGGTTAATCTCCTCCAACAAATTCAGCATTTCCAGGTTAACCTCCAGCAAGCTCAGCCTCTGCCTGACAATCACCAATGGAGAGAGAAGCAGAAGTTAAGTATATGGTTTGACTACCAGCACCAGCCAATTATGCAAAAGGCCGAAGTAGCTCACCAATTTGATTCTTGCCAGGCTAGAAACACTCACCCCTCTCTTACTCCTCCCTACAAAACCTTGCCCTGATGAATGTTCAGGGCTTCTCCTCCACTGGAACTGTACTCTGTGTGAGTGGTGAACCAAGCCCTAGCTAGCTGGAATAAAAACCCTGGTGTGATTGCATCAGATAAGCTCCTGACTGGTCTTTTGGATTCATAAACATTTCCTGGCACAACATCCTGAGATCCTGGATACACAGAGCCTAAAGGTAGCCCAAGGAAGTCCAAAAGACAGCAGCTTCAGTCCAGTCCTCTCGGCAGGCAGACACCAGGCAAGAATCAGCAGCTGTAGTTCAATTCTGAGGAAACTGACAAATGTGCTAACCAGTCTAAGGTGAGTCCGTATATGCAGCAAACAGCTGCAGGAACCTCATGAGCAGTTCTTGGCAAGTTTCTCTCAATGGTGACATTACCACAAGTCGAGCTCAACAATGCTATGGACCAATCCATGCTGTTAGTGAAGAAAGAATAGTGAGGAGGCTTAAACCAAACCAATGCTCAGTGCCTGCCTCCCACTGTCTGTGGGTTCATATTTACTCCTTTATCAAGGGTTCTTTTATGTGTCTGCTATATCAAAAACATCCTTTCATCTGTGTCTGCTTCAGGAAAACTTTCTTTCTCATATCTGCTCCAGCAAAACATTCTTTCACCTGTGTCTGCCTCAGGAAAACATCCTTTCACCTGTGAGCCCCAGCAAAACATAATTTGACATAAGTAACTTTCCAAAGAAACTAGAAGTTTCCACCTCACTTGGGAAGCAGAGGCAGGGAGATCTTTGAGTTAGAGGCCAGCCTTTTCTACATAGCATGTTCCAGGGCTACACAAATAAACAGAAGAAAGAAAGAAAGAAAGAAAGAAAGAAAGAAAGAAAGAAAGAAAGAAAGAAAGAAAGAAAGGACGAAAGAAAGAAAGGAAGAGAGAGAAAGAGAGAAAGAGAGAAGAAGAAGAAGAAGAAGAAGAAAAAGAAGAAGGAGGGGAGGGGGGGGGGGGGGGAGGGGGGGGGACAAAAAAAAAACAAAAACAAAATAAAAATACTATCTAAATAAAAAGAATTTGTGAACATTTAATCAAAAGATTGCCCCAGACACCTGCACATAAATAAAATACTACTTAGAAACCATCTTCATTTTAATTTTAGTGCCCATATCTGTATATATATTTTATTTATTTATTTATTTATTTATTAAATTGATAGGCCTAATTTCTCATTTATCACATTTTAAAGATTTTTAAATCATTTTTAATTATGTGTAAGTATGTATCTTTGATGAGAAATGTTCAGATCGATGAAATTGTCCAGAGGCCAGAGGAGTTGCAGCCCTATGGATCTGGAGTTTCAGGTGGTTGTGAGCTACCTGATATGGGTGCTGGGAATTTTAGTTGGCTCCTCTGAAAGAGCAGTCAGTGCTCTAAACATCTGAGCTACCTTACATCTCACAAATATTTATGAACATGTGGTCTCACTGTGTAGACATGACTGGCTTGGGAGTCCCTCTGTAGACCAGGTTGGCCCTGAACACAGAGATTAGCCTAGCATATATCCAGATAATATTTTATACTGGAGAGAAGTAGAGGGAAAACTCTGGGATTTGTCTAAACACTGTGCAGTTTCTATGTGTATGAGCGGGATTTGGGGGCATAGTTTATATTAATGGTGCATAGTATAATTTTAAGAACATTGGAAAATTTGAAGCAATACCAAATTAACAAGCAAAGTGTTTTATAAATAAAATTTATTTGAATGCACAATTGTTTTAATTACATAAGACAGTTGCTACAATAAAGAAAACATAAGCCCTTCTGCTCCTGCCTGGTCCTCTGGGCTGGAGCAGACACAGAGTCGGTCTGCTCCCGTCCTGTTGAGAAACTGAATCCTGAGTCATCCAGGAGCCACTGCACTCAGAGCAGCTGGTAAGAACTCCATCTCACTCCCTAAACCCCAGAGATAGATCGGGGAGCCAGGGACATCCAGGGCACAGCAGCTACCCAAACCCCGCCCCTCCGGAATTCCACTTCCCTTCTGCCCCTGCATGGTCCTCTGGGCTGGAGCAGACACAGAGTTGGTCTGCTCCTGTCCTGTGGAGAAACTGAATCCTGAGTCATCCAGGAGCCACTGCACTCAGAGCAGCTGACACAGAGTCGGTCTTTTCCTGTCCTGTTGAGAAACTGAATCCTGAGTCATCCAGGAGCCACTGCACTCAGAGCAGCTGGAGCCACTGCACTCAGAGCAGCTGAAACTGAATCCTGAGTCATCGAGGACCCACTGCACTCAGAGCAGAAGGATTTCCAGATCCAAGAGGTGGCCTGAGTCCCAGGAGTTATTCCACCCAGGAGATTAGGAGCATAAGACCACAGAGACCTCTGGACTCTGAGGAGCTCTGCAATAAGCAAGATAACTGGAAATACAGACTCCAGTTTTACACAGTGAGGGCAGGTACCACTAGAGTTAACCAGATGGCGAAAGGCAAGCATAAGAACATAAGCAACGGAAACCAAAGTTTCTTGGCATCATCAGTGCCCAATTCTCCCAATATAGCAAGCCCTGAACACCCCATCACACCTGAAAAGCAGGATTCAGAATTAAAATCACTTCTCATGATGATGATAGACGATTATAAGAAGGAATTAAGTAACTCCCTTAAAGAAATACAGGAGAGTACAAGTAAACAGATAGAAGCCCTTAAAGAGGAATCACAGAAATCCCTTAAAGAAATGGAAGAAAACACAAAGAAGGAATTAAACAAAAACATTCAGGATCTGAAACTAGAAATAGAAACAATAAAGAAAGTTCAAAGGGAGACAACCATGGAGATAGAAAACCTAAGAAAGAGATCAGGAGTCACAGACGCAAGCATCACCAACCGAATGCAAGAGATAGAAGAGAGAATCTCAAATGCAGAAGATACCGTGGAAAATATTGACACAGTTGTCAAAGAAAATGCAAAATGCAAAAAACTCCTAACTCAAAACATCCAGGAAATCCAGGACACAATGAGAAGACCAAACCTAAGGATAATAGGTATAGATGAGAATGAAGATTCCCAACTTAAAGGGCCAGTAAATATCTTCAACAAAATTATTGAGGAAAACTTCCCTAACCTAAAGAACAAGATGCCCATAAACATACAAGAAGCCTACAGAACACCAAATAGACTAGACCAGAAAAGAAATACCTCCCGTCACATAATAATCAAAACATCAGATGCACAAAACAAAGAAAAAATACTAAAAGCAGTAAGGGAAAAAGGTCAAGTAACATATAAAGGCAGACCTATAAGAATTACACCAGACTTCTCACCAGAGACTATAAAAGCCAGAAGAGCCTGGACTGACATCATACAGACACTAAGAGAACACAATTGCCAGCCCAGATTACTATACCCAGCAAAACTCTCAATCACTATAGATGGTGAAACCAAGATATTCCATGACAAAACCAAATTTGCACAATATCTTCCCACAAACCCAGCACTTCAAAGGATAATTGATGGAAAATGCCAACACAAGGAGGGAAACTACAACCTAGGAAAAGCAAGTAAGTAATCTTCCAACAACCCCCAAAAAAGATACAAACATAACTTTACCTCTAATAACAAAAATAACAGGAAGCAACAATCATTTTTCCTTAA